GGTTTGCTCTTCCTCCATCCGTGATGCTTCCCTGCACTTCTTCAGTGTGTGTGAGCAGCACCGCTCGCTGGTTCTCTTCATTACTTACGGCTTCACCTACTCTAAGCAAATCTTCTCTTTGAACACATTAAACCTTTCACTTTCGGAACAGACTTGCATGTTTTAACTTGAAGGGTGGCCTTTATTTTGGAGCCACAACCCCCACATCCCACCACAAAAACTGCTCATCAGCCTCTGAACAAACACAGTGAGAATTCCATTCTGCACTTTTCTTGTGTGTCTGCCTACAATGTAAACACACATGCATAAACCTGATCCACGAGAACACCACACTACAATAAAACATACAATCTCTGAGAAGTGACACCTTGTGAAAAATCACACACAAGGTCGAAGACTCCATTAATCCTAAGGATCATAATTTGGGCAAAGCATTATGAACGTGTTAACAACAGTAACAATCCTGACCCATGAACACAAACTAAAACAGTGCCGCAGACACACCTGTGTGCGCCCCCACCACCCCCCAAAGCTGCGGTCCGTGTAGCTTCTGGAATAAGCTTGCTTCGTCTCAACATTTTGAAGCCAAAAGAAAAGGTGCCTGTTTTATTCCGAATATAACTACAAAACAGTATTTGCTGCCAGATGGGGCAGACCTGCCATCAGGGGTGGGAAAAGCAACTCTGTGAAGATTTTCCTGATGCACGAGTCCCGCACCGAGTGCAGCTTCGAAGCAAAAGGGAAAACGTGGGGGTGTGCGGCACCAGGCTGACATCACCCACAGGCAGCTCCCCAGCATCGTGCGAGTCCTCCGAGAGCCAATCAAATGGATGAAACCCTGCGCGTGGACACTGGTGCGTGTGCATTTTGTGGACACTTCGGTCAGCTCGTGTGGGACCGCAGCTCTCCAGACAATAGCAGGCCCATGACGGAGCCCCACCTCCTCTCAAGAAAGGCATCACCGTACACAAGCAGGAACGAGGCGTGAGCTCACTATGCTTACACATGGTGCTCACTCGTCAGAAGCAAGCCTACAAACTCAACAAAACCAAAGCATCCGTACTACAAAATGAGGCTCGCCATCTCATGCATGACAGAACCCGCCACTGGGCTCAAACTGCCCACGGTGTCACTTGTGTCTGAACCACAGCAAAGGGTGACCGCGGTCACGGAGTCTTGGCAAAAAGCTCTGCTTTGTGTGAACCACAGACACAAAGTCAACTGGCACCAACAGGACTAAAAACAGAAATAATCACACTAGACGGCATATACAGCAGTCCCTCCCTATGCACGGGGTACGCCGCAGGACCCCAGGAGCTGCCTGAACCCTATACATACGTGTCTAGGATAAAGCTGAATCGACAGGGAAAGGTTACCAGTAACTAGCGGTGAAACACAACGTCACAGCTACACGTTGCTGGTAAGACGTGTGTGAACGTGGTCTCTCTCAGAGCATCGCACCTCCTCTCACCTCGCTGCTCCCGCCCTTCCTCCTCTGGGGGAGACACGAAGGGGGCGAAGGACGTCAGGCCACTACTGACCATCTGACCACGCGCCCAGAGGAGGACCCCCAGCCTCTGGAGCACGGCCTGCTGCAGGTACCCAAGCCTGCAGCAAGTGAACCCCTGGATAAGGGGGGCCACGGTGGCGTTAGAACTCTTTGGAAACAGTCCACAGAAGATTCTGTCTGGTCTGAGATGCCGGCACGATGCCTGGTGCATGACAAGGAAGGAGAGGCCAGGGGCAGGCCCTGCAGTACCCAGAGTACCTCGTCACCAGTGAGACGCGCCTCCAGGGACTTGAGCTGAGCTGCGTTTACAGAAAACTCTGGCAGCAGGACAAAGCAGGGACAGAAACGAAGGGGACTGCGGCTGCTGGGGGCTGGGAGAGGCGTCCGGTCCCAGACAAAGGGCCTCTGACAGACACACTGTGGGACACCCTGGCTGTAGAGCACCTGTTGATGCGGACTGCAGCCCGTCGGAAGAGCCCCCCTGGCGGATTCAATACAACTACAGGAGGCCTGGAGTGACTGCAGAGGTGAGCACAGGGGGCATCAGGACAGGGCAGAGGTGAGCACAGGGGGGAATCAGGACAGGGCAGAGGTGAGCACAGGGGGGAATCAGGACAGGGCAGAGGTGAGCACAGGGGGGAGTCAGGACAGGGCAGAGGTGAGCACAGGGGGCATCAGGACAGGGCAGAGGTGAGCACAGGGGGAATCAGGACAGGGCAGAGGTGAGCACTGGGGGGAATCAGGACAGGGCAGAGGTGAGCACAGGGGGAATCAGGACAGGGCAGAGGTGAGCACAGGGGGAATCAGGACAGGGCAGAGGTGGGTATGGGGACCTCCTGATATGACAAAGGTGAGTAATCTCACATTTCTCAATCCTATTTCCCAGGACCCTCCAACTACTGAACTGAGTGAGAGAACTGCCTGATACGTATACAGAATTATGCCAGGGGGCCTGTGGCAGATCTCACAATTCCTAGAACCTAACTGTATTAAAAACAAATGTTTTTGGCAGACAGACCACTGAAGGAACTCATACAAAACATACTTTGTTATTCATTTGGATGTTCTTGATAAATCCAAGAAAAAAACGCAAAAAGCAGTCCACCTAAGTCAAGTCAGGTCGCCAATCTGTACAAATTTCTACAGAAACCAGGACAACTCTGGAAAAGCAATCCACCCTGAATTATCTCAAAAGAACGAGGGCTGTTAGAAAATAAAACCAGTCCGACAATGTTGCTGGTGGAAACATGACCCCTTTCTATCACAACCCACTCCAGTTTTTAGGAAGCTTCCTGGGATTCTCTCCAAAGGTTTCAGAATTTCCTGCAAGCCTCACCCTCCCTTCTACTCTAATGAAAGACCTCGGGGTCACTGCCTCGCAGACTGGGGTGCGCTCTGAAACCTGCCTGTGAAGCACGATTGTCGCACAGTTCCTCATCTCACAGTATCTGCTCTCTCCTCCTGACCCAGAGCCGTGTGTGAGTGTGGCACGCCACCTGAGACTCAGCGAAGCGGACGCAGGACTGAGTGTCACTTCTCCAAGCTCGCGGAGCAAGGGCCCAAGACCAGTGTCCGCTGAGGCAGCGCGTCTGCTCTCCAGCAGTGCTCAGCAAGGCCGATGTGCGTCTCCCGCCACCTGGACAACGGTGCTTTAGGACCCTCTCTGGGCGTGTGGGCGTTTCAGAAGGGGACCCGGGTGGCGACAGCATCTTCTGACACCTGGGTGTCCCTCCTGTCAGGTGCACACTCGGTTCAGGACATCCCCATGTGACCTGGCACGAAGCCGCTCTGAGACCACCCGCGGCCGCCGCGCCACCCGCTGACCACACGTAGCAGCCAGGGGCCCGGGGCTGTCCCTCCAGTCTCGGCTGCTTGCGGTGGCTCTTGGGGACCTTTTCTGCTCCGGATGGAACTGCAGACAAGAGGGACCCCGTCGTACATGGGCTGGGCTGTGCACATTCGTTTCCCTGCTTCTCGGCTTCCGATTTCTAAACCGTGCAGTCTGCGGCCCACCGTGCTTCCCAAGAACTGGGAATCCAGTTAGAGAAGCAGGCGTAGAGGCTCGGCTCCGGCCGCCACCGGCCAGGGCGCCCAGCGTCAGTGCCCAAACGCAGCTGTGGTCTCCCTGGCAGGGCGCATGGGACTGGACCTCTGTTCTCGGCCCACTTACAGCACAGCCCAGTGCTCGCCGGTCCGAAGTCCAAGACTGCTCTTGCCCTCCACACCTCCTGCTGCCGAGGAGCCAGACGTAAGGCTTGAAGGCTAATTTTTATTTCTCAGAGTGACGGAAGGTGAGCACTTTTATTCCGCGGTAAGATTCCCACCCCTCTGACACGGAGTGAGTGCCACAATCACGTCGCCACCGAGCACTGGAGTGCCGCTGGGCGGCCAGGGGGACGGGGGAGGCAGGTGCCGGCGGACCCTCCGGGGTCAGCAACTCCCTCAGAGATAAACAAGTAGCACTGAGGAAATTTTCTTGGAGAAAACATTTTTATGAAACAAAAAACAGCACGTATGCCAGCTAATGTTCAAAAAAATGGCAAAGAGAGGAATTCAGCACATCTGCAAACAAGGTGTAACCGTCATCAGGTAAACCAGCATGTGAAGATGATAATCTGAGCTGCTGGTGAGATTCCGTGCTGAGCGTAACATTTTCCTGCTGCGGATGAAAATGAACTAAGAAACGTTTTGCTGGGTATGCATCTTCCCAGGGGTCGCCATGAACACAGAGCGTGGCGTGGTGCCGGAGCAGAGAGTGAGGCTGCCGAGGGGCTGGCCGGGAGTGCCAAGAAGGGGCCACGTGCACTTGGATGCGTGATGTGGTTTTCTGCACGGAAGCTGCACAAGCACCTACAAATAAACGGAGACCCCCACAGGCAGGTGGGACCCTCTCTCAAGGGCGCTGGCCTAGGGCAGGGCGTGAGGGCCACAGGGCCTGGGGGCCGGCGGGACTCAGGATGGGCTGACGTGTGAACGTCGGTCATTTCTGAAGACGACCCAGGAGACAGACAACAGACTTACAAAATTATCTTAGTGCTGTCTGGTTCCGAAAGAAAAGCCCCACCATATTCAGTCTCCAGTTCAAAATAGACTCAGGCTCTATTACCCTTATTCCCACAATTAAGCATCTGAAAAAACAAAAACCCCACCGATATGGCCTAAATCTATTTAGTGGTGCAACGGTAAGATCCTACAATGAATTGCCGGCCGTGACCCAGGCAGGTGGTCATCAAGGGTCTCCCGCTGGGCCCTGCAGGCCACCAGCAGCCCCACCCGCCCGAGGCCGGGCCCTCGTCAACGACGGGGGCAAGCATTCGCCCGTGGGCCCCACCGGTGGGTCGCAGCCGGGCTTTCCAGCGTTGCCGATGCCCTGACGCGTCACTCAAGGCCGCTGCACATCTCTCGGTGGAAGCGTCCCTGGGAAACCAAGGGTGGTGCGTGAGCGCGGTCCGCGCCCTGCCCCCGGCGCGCTGGCGCCCGCGGGCCTCACCTCTTTGTCCATACTCTCTAAGTCCTCCTTACAGAGCGTGTACAGCGGCATTGTCTCTGACATGCTGGGCTGTCGCTTCCGTCCACTGGGGCCGGGCTGCTCTCCGGGTCGGTTATCTGGCAGCTCTTGAGCAAGCATCTGCCGCGGCGGCTGAACCACTCTGAAATGAATGTCACAGGTCCCACGTGAGGAACGGCACTTTGAAGGACTCCTGGCTCTTGGAGCAGGTACATAAATACATACAAACAGAGAGCATTTCAGTCACGAAAACCCACCATGTCTCTCAACAGCACCTACTTATGCCTTCTCAGAGCTGACACCCTAAATCCGACTGACGCCTCCTCCGGCTGGAAGCCAACACCTACCTTCTTGTGCCAACACAACACTGCTGCATCGGGTTCCCTCGTTTTAGAACAAAGGGCAAAATGTGAAGAGCTACCGAACAATTTCCTAGAAACCAGCGGGAAATGTTATTTATTCTCAAACACAGTCAAGCAAGTCACAAGACTCCTGAAACAACAAAGCTGACAAACCGTTTCTATCCGTATTCTCTGGAACAGAAAGAATGCGCAGCGCTAGGAAGCAGGTGCACGGGGCTGAAGTCAGCCGTCCACCGAAGGGCAGGGGAGGCAATTCGGGACGACGAGTGCACAGTTCTGTTAGACAGTCAAATATTAACACAAAAAACCAGCGAGTGCTGCGCAATGCTCTTCCCTGGGGCCCGTCCCAGGCCGGCCGGGTAGTTTCTCCCAGCGCCTTCCGCGCTCACGTCTGTCTCCGCGCCAGACCCAAGCACACGCTCTCGCATGTCATGACCTCGAGAGAGGAGGGGCTCGTGCATGGCTGGCGGGTCCGCCCCGAGTGGCTGCTCTAGGGGCTGCTCACTGGGGCCGGAGCCTGCACGACGACGCCTCGGGCCCCACGGCCACCGCCAGCCACATGCTCCCTCCCTGAGACGCTGATGCAGTAAAACCTCAGGATTCTGAGGAAAAACGGGGTGCTACGTCCAAACCCCGTAAGTGAAGAGAAGCAGCTGTGTTAGGAAGTGAGACTTCTCCTCGATGAACATAGAGCGCCACCACACTGCGCCGCCCTCTTCCTCCTCAAACGTCAGAGCACACGCCTCACCAGCGTGTCCACGCAGCTCCCCGCCTTGGCACCAGGACACCGCCACCCCCACTGACCGGCGGCCCCAACTCGGGAAGACAGCAAAGTACCTTAAAAACAGGTACATTACAGTCTCCCTTCAGAAAAGTGGTTTCAGCTTTAACCAAAACCGGAAATGTGCACCCACCCCCCCGAGGGGCCGCCGGTCAGGGTGCGTGGGCCGGCCAAGCCGCACCTGCATGGATGCTGCCCTCGAAAAGGCACGATTCTCCTCACCTCACAGGGCACTGGGCTGGCCACCAAACCAAGGGCCCCCGAGTCTCCCTTCAGCAACAACACCCCACACCGGAGGCGGCAGAACTTGGTCCTGTTTCCACCAAAGGGCAGCTCCCAGCAGGTGGGCACAGAGGCAGAGGGCAAGCACCGTCCTTAGCCAGAGCCACAAAAATGCAAACAAGCCGCTCTTCTCCTTACGCTTCTTATCTGTTGGCAAATGGCTATGATGTTAAAAACGCGATACTATGTTAACACGCGATGGCTTACTGTTACTCTGAAATGCGAGAATGAGTGTCTCCCAGACGGCTCAGTTCCTATGTCTGACATGGTCAGCTCTGGGGGACGAAACGCCCAGGACAAAGAGCTCCCTGTTCCTGACACCATGCTGCTCGCACAGCTCCCTCCAAACAGGACGACAAGTGCAAGAGAAAATAAAACACGAAGGGATTCACTGCAAGCTGACCTCCAGTCCCAGGCAGGCAGGTGGGCCTCTGCCACCCTCCTGGGAGCTCAACCCGAGACCTGGGCCTCCAGGGGACCACAGAGGATGGACGGAGGAGGAGGATCAGGAGTGGGCGACATGAAACACCAACAGGCAGACACAGAGCCCCAGGAGCAGGCTGCTCTCTGCAGGGGAAGCTCAGAGAGAGGCTGCCTCGTAGGACCGGAACGCCTGAGACAGGCACTACTCTACCGTGGGCCACCACCACCAGCTGTGTCCCCGCCAGTAGTCTCTGGGAAGGCTGAGTGGGGAGCCAGGACCCTTCCTCCCAGCCAGCCTGTAACAAGCACCCCACCACCATGCCGTGTCCGTGGAGACCACAGTAGGCAGGAACCTGGACAAGCACCCCACCCTGCAGGTAACAAGGCCCCCAGTCCAGGCTGGGAGGTGTCAGGGTCAGATGTTCATCTTCACCCAGTGGTAACAGCAGTGACCCCGGGGGACAGCCGGAGCCCCCACGGCCTGGCGGCAGCAATGACCACCCACACGCAGCTGCCAAACGAGGCCAGTGCACACCTGGACTTCTCCCCGCCGGGCACAGGTGAGGCGGTGCATCCACCTGGGCGGCTGGTAAACAGCCGGGCAGAGACAGCCAAGCACAAGGTCTGAATAAGGTCCCGATGCTCACAACGTGATGTGAAGCCGTCCAGGCTTCGGTCGAAAACCACTCGTCCTACCAAGAACCAGGAAGGTCTCAAGCTGAATAAACGTCAACTCTGAGATGGCAGAGGTGACAGAAGTCCTGACACGGATGTTAGAGCATCGCGGAAAAAGATGCCGCCACAAGAACTCCAGGCCCACGAAACGTTAAGTGAGAAAACCCGGCAAAGAAGCAGAAGACACAAAGAGCCGAGCAGAAGCCTGAGAATGAAAACATTGCAGCAGGCACAATTTTTAAAAATGCAGGGGATGGGCTCAACTTCACAAGGAAAGGGACAGAAACCACAAAATCAGTGAACCTGAGGAGTAATAGAAATTGCTCAGTCTAAACAAAAGGGAGAAAAGAGACTGTTCAGAACACGCAAGAGGACAACGAGATCCAGTATTCGCGTCCCCGATCCCAGGAGGAGGAGAAACATGGCAGAGCTGGAAAAGTCCTCAAAGAACAAGGGCTGGAAATGTCCTAAATTTGGCGAAAGACATTAAACTTTCTGACTCAAAAAGCTGAATGAATCCAAAAAGGAAAAACCGCTAAATCCACATTAGGACACATCCTCATCAAACTTACTATTCAAGACGAGGAAAAAAGTCTTGAAAGCAGCGAGAGACATGTAATTCGAATGACAGGCCAAAGAAGAAAAACCATGTTATCATATCACTATCGCTAAAAGCACCTGAAAAATTTAAAACCCATTCAGGATAAAAACTCACAGGAACTTGGGAAGAAGGAGGGGGAACTGCCCCAACTTGGTAAAGAGCATCTATAGAAAACCTAGAGCCAACATCATACTTAAAGGTGAAAAACGGAATGCTTTCACCTTAAGATCAAGAAGGGCAAGAACGTCCGCGGATCAAGGGAACAGGTTGGAACCCAGAAATGACCCAAACAGATGGACCCCCCACACTTGACATGGCACCAAAGCAACGGATGGAAGATGCCTCTTCAGCTAACAGTGCGGGAGCAAAACCGACCCCCAGCTGAAAATCCCACACCTTGTGTAAAAACTCAGAATGGATCATGGCCTTCAATATAAAACATAAAAGCTATGAAACTTTGAGACTAAGACATAAGAGAAAACCTTTAGGGTCTAGGACCACACAGAGAGTTCACAGACTTGACACCAAATGCGTAATTCATGAAAAGAAAACTGACACACAGCACCTGATTCATCAAAATGAAACACTTTGGCTTCGCCCAACTCTGTGAAGATGAAAAGCTACAGAGAAGAAAATACCTTCCTGCCACACCGCTCACAAATAATACCTAAAATACACAAACAATGATCAAACTCAGCAGTCACACAACCATCCGGTTGGAAAACAGGTGAAGACACACAGATGCTTCATGGAGGAGGATGCTCAGGAGGCAGCGTGTCCCCCCGGGGCGCACACACGCCTGTCAGAGTGGCTACCGTCAAGAGCGGTGTCTACCCCAGGCGCGGGCGGGGTGCAGGGAGGACCGCACCTGCTGGCGGGAATGCGCAATGGTGGTTCCTCCAGAGGAAAACCGCACACCACTCAGCACACAGTGCAGCAGGTACACCGCCGGGGCAGCGGTCCCGCAGAAATGGACGCAGACACAAGGTTCGGAGCAGCCCTCTGGGGGGGGCCAGGGCTGGATACACCCAGGAGGCTGCTCGGCCGTGGGACGAGAACGTGTGAGCACGTGTGAGCAATGCCGCGACGGTGCAGCTGGCCCTGGGCCTAGCGCGAGAGCCTGTGTGCACGGCACTCCTGGACCGACCGAAGGACGGGGAGCAGCTGGGTCGGCAGTCGCTGGGGGGTTATGAGAGGGGGAGAGGGAGGTGGGCAGCGGGGGGCCCCGGGGGTGGTGGCGGTTCTGTGTCCCCGACACCCTGGCGGTGAGACTGCGCTGCAGATTTGCAAGATGCTACCGCGGGCAAACCAGGGCGAGGGCACACGGGATCTCTCTTACTTCCTACACCTGCCTGTGGGTCTACAGTGACCGCCAAATAAAACTTCTAATAAAAAAAAAAAACCAACCCAAAAATGTTTACAACTAACAGCACATAATAATGATGGGTAAAAAAAGAAATTCAGAATTCTGGACGCTGTGCTTGCAGGGGAGTAAGTTTAGACTGATTGCGAGGTGAGCGCCTGTGGTCCTGGCTGCACCCCCCGCCCCGCGGACCAGGCCTCTCACCTTCCCCTCCAGGCACGTCCTGGGGTCGCTGCCTGCGGAAGCCCTTCGACCCTGCCTCGGGCGAGGTGGGCAGAACCTGGCAACATGCAAGCAACAGCAGGAGAGCCCCAAGGAGCTCCGACCCCAAATCCCCAGGGGAGCTGGCGCCCCAGCCCAGAACCACAGCCATCCAATGAGGACAGACACAGACCTCCAGGCCTCGGTCACACAAGCACACAGAACGGCGTCAGCGCACCCTGTCACAGTGGGGTCTGCGCGGGGTTCCAGGTTCAGAATGGGGGGGAGCCACCCCTCCCGGCGCTCTCCTTCCTGCAGCCCTCGACACACAGGGACGGGGGACCAGAGCCTTGAAGGGGCGGGCGGCTGGTGCAGGCCTCGCAGCCCGTGGTTCCAAGGACTTGCAGTGTGGACACCTTGCATCTCTGAGGGCCGACAGTGCCCACGGAGACGCCCTGTAGGTGCCTGGGTAGCCGTGCATGGACAGGGGACTAAGGACACAGGCGTGTGTGGGTACAACGAGAAATCAAAGAAACGGGGAGCTCTAGCTCTACGTAGAAAGGACGCCCTTACTCTATGCCGCAACGATGAATGGCGTGGGGCCTCTCCCTCTACACAAGCGCCTGTGGGAGCGGGACCTGGGCCTGCCTGGTCCTCTTGCCTCCGGCTTCTGGACTGGTGCCAAGACAGGGGCCGCCCCTCGTGTAGAAATGGGTCATTTCCTTCATCAGTTTTACAACGTATAGTGTCCTACACACGAGTAAGGAGAGAGATACAATTACTACAGCGAAGGCGACAGGTTTCCACCAGCACACGCACGGGACTGACGTGCGTTCATCGACGCTGCTACCATCCTGCTGCACACCGACACCATTCCGTGAACAATGGGCTGGAAATCACACCTCCAAGCTCAAGAAAGAAAACTTCATCAGAGCCACCTCCAGATAAGCTATCCCGCAGTGTGCGTCCTTCCTCCAGGAAGACGAGGCCAAACGGTTCTTCCGTGCTCTCAAGCCAAAGTGCCGCTGTTCACAAAAATTACACACATTTCAGAACAAATAGGTGGTTATCTGTTGCCTGACTGTTAGTGTTCTATGTAAAACAGCGGCACTCGACTGTATTCAAGTTCAGCTTACCATCTGCAAGTGTTTTCAGACAACATTTAATTACTTCTCCCACACCTCGGAGGTTCCTGGCCCACTGCCACTTACTGCGAGCCAGCCTGAATAATCCCCAAACCATCTCTGAATCCCACTTCTAAACATTCCAGACATTTGTTCTGTACGCTTTAGAGAATTAACTCAAAAGGTTCGTGATCTAATTTCCAACAAGATGAAAACAAGATTCTAAAAACCAGGACTCGCTCAAGGAAATATCAGCACAGCACGGACTCTGGGACGGCTTCCGATGACGTAAGAGGACTGTAAGCTGCGAGGCAGGTGCTGGTTTGTGATCCGTGCTTTTAACGCACACCCTGTCCTGTCCTCCACACCTTCCCGGATGCGGACCGTAACTCCCTGCACGACGTCACCCGCGGAAAGAATCCGAACCACACAACCGTCCAGGCAGCGGTGCAGCGCCTCCTCGAGGAGGGAGTTCTAGATCCTTGTGACGGAAGCCCCCGCCACCACTGTCATAAATCATGATATTGTTCGGCTCTCAGTGCTCATTTGTCTGGGTCAGTCTGGGCGATGGGCACGGGAGGCTTGTCAACTCGAGTCAACGAGGAGAGACACGAACGGAAGGCTGTCTACCGCAGGACTTCTGGAAGGCGGGAGACACTCTCACCTTTGTGGCTGGGCCTTCGGTCCCGGTACGTGCAGATCCACTGCAGCCCCCACCCCCATCCCACAGTCCGTGTTCCTCCTAAACCACCATCCATCGGCCCAGGGCGCAGGGACAGCACATGACCTTGGCTGAGTCCGGTGCTTGGGATATCTACATACAGGCCACAGAACTGCCCACGTGAAAGGACAAGAAATCAGGGGACCCCCCCCCCCAGCCCAACTGTATAAACACCTGTGAAGTGAGAACCGTGAAGTGAGGAAAGAAGCCAATGTGGCACCCCACGTCCCCAAAGACTCCAGCACAGGGTGCAGATGTCCACCTTCCCGCACCTCTTCCCGGCGTCCACGAGTCTCCTGCACAAGCAGAACACCAGGTGTCGGCACCTGCGTTGAGCAAGTGTCCCCGAGCCAAGACTCAGGAGGCGCCCAGCAGCGTTCCCACACGCGCACCAGGGTCTCTGCAAGCCCATCCCCTGGCGTCAGGGTCACAGAGGCTCTGCCCAGGACACCACTGAGGAAGCCGAGCTGCCTGTGCTCATAATACAACCAGCTCCACAAAGCAACTCTCTTGGCAGGAGAGAAGTGCAGGCCCACCGCACGAGCACCCAGCTTCTGCCTGGCTCGGCACCTCGTCTCTGCTCCCTCTGGCCTGTACCGTCTGCAGCTACGCGGGCTTTCTCAAGCTCTGCCACGGCGAAGCAGCTGTCCCCGTGCACCTGCCAGCACCCGAGAAGTCACCTCTCAAGTGGAGGCCCTGCCACCTGACCCGCTGGGACCCTCTTGCCTCCCTCCTCCTCCCTTCTCTCCATGGCTCACATCCCGCCAGGAGACCCGGGCCCTGCTCACCCCTCCTGTGCACGCACACCATCCACACGGCACCCGCTGCTGCCTCTCGATGTTAATCTCTGTCCACGGCCTGAGTGGTATCAAACGCCTAGTCTCTTTCTCAGACGATCGTGTTAATGTTCGAAGTTTACTAACCCTGTTGTACTTGTGGCAATTAAGACAAACCGCTTTTGTCTTTCTGCTGTGTATAAACACTCGCATTTAAGACGTAAAATTGACCTGTTATGTAAGTATACATGTTAGGTAATGCTGTTTAACGTTTAGGAGCATTTTAATCGTATCCCATTCACACCAGTGTCACTATTAGGGGTTAACGGCACAGGATGTTTACTCTTATACTGTACGTATAAAACGTATACTCTTCTCGTTCTTGGTTTAATTCTTTGTTTTTAAGTAATCTCTACACTCAACGTGGAGCTCAAATTCACGACCAGGGGTCAAGAGTCCTGACACCTTGGTGGCGCCTGGGTGGCTCAGTCGTTAAGCGTCTGCCTTCGGCTCAGGTCATGATCCCAGGGTCCTGGGATCGAGTCCCGCATCGGGCTCCCTGCTCTGCG